AGGGATCTTTTAAGAAGAGGAAGAAGAAGAAAAAGGTAAAGAAACAAATTAAGAACAACAAATACACATCTATCAACAAGTGAATCTAAGAATCAAGTGAATAAATAATCTGATGAACAGAATGAACTGGTGATTATAATAGAATCAGGGACATAGAAAGGGAATGGACTGACTATTCTTGCGGGGGAAAGGGGTGTGGGGATGCGGGAAGAGACTGGACAAAAATCGTGCACCTATGGATGAGGACAGTGTGGTGGGGGGGGAGTGAGGGCAGAGGGTGGAGTGGGAACCTGGTAGAGGGGAGCTACGGGGGGAAAAATAGGAATAACTGTAATAATCTGAACAATAAAGATTTAAAAAAATGTAATTGTAATTCCACCCACCTCTACCATTTTCAAGAAGGATTCTATATAGTTGTAATCTGATAAAAAGGATTAAATTTGTATGTTAACTATAGGGGTGTTAAGAATGAAAAAAACTGTTAAGGCATACAATGCCAACCATCGGACTTTCCATATTTCTTATGGACATGGCAGGTTTCCTGTAGGAAAATAGCAGATCAGAGTGGAGTGATGGGATGGGACAACAGTGGAGGCTTTGAATGTTAGAAGACCGTGACTTACCACAGAGGCTGGTGGGAAGCAGAGGGCTGATCAGAGCTGGCTTTGAAGAATGTTAATCTGGCTGCTCTTTGGATGAGGAGTAAGTAGTAAGGAGCCTATCGCAGATGCTCAGATAAGAGAGCTTGCTCAGATGGTGGCAAAAGACAGCATGGGAAAAGGCACCGAGGAGAAAAAAAACAGTGTGCCTTGGTGATTAAAGGTAATTGGATGAAGGAGACAATAAAGATAATTGGAATGGGCTTTGTCATGAACACAAATAGGAAATGAGTGGGCCAGAAATCACAGCATCCTCTTCCTCCTGCAGTGTCCCTGCAGCGCCCTCTACTGAGAAAGTTTAGCATTGGGTCATTTTAAATGCCATGGGAACCAGATTGTTGTAAGGGAGCATATATAGAAGCTGAATAAACTGGTAACTGACAGTTACATTGGTCCGGTGGGTCCTTGTTCTTTATTATTGGCCCTGCTCATTGATGTGCTCCTTCTGGGGTTCCCTGGTTATTCTTGATTAATTTTCCGTAACAACTTTATCTTGTTCCAGGTTAAAAAAAACCCAGTAATTTTTATATAAGCCTATGAATTTTAATTTTTAAAAAAAATATATTTTATTGATTTTTTACAGAGAGGAAGGGAGAGAGATAGAGAGTTAGAAACATCGATGAGAGAGAGACATCGATCAGCTACCTCCTGCACATCTCCTACTGGGGATGTGCCCGCAACCCAGGTACATGCCCTTGACCGGAATCGAACCTGGGACCTGGACAGTGAGA